CCTTTCAAAAAGTGAAACTTTGTATATTATATTCATCCATTACACACGGACTGAAATATTTCACATGTTGATTTCTTTAAATGTTGATGATTATAATGCGATTTATACTCCGAAGCGTCTTATATGTTTTTTTCCTCTACGTGAGGCATTTGTTGACGAATGCGACCTATACGCCGGAGTGACGTATAGTCCGGAAAATACGGTATTTGTCCAATTTTGAAGGTTTATTTTTGCAACAACCATAAAATGTAATTTAAGATTATGTTTGTCAAACATATACAAGTATATACAACAAATCAAAATAGTTTAACTGTAAATGATTTAATGGGAAAAAAACACAATCTTTGTAGGCAGAATAATAAAAAAATAGTTTATCTTTACTAAGACGCAGGTTATAAAAGCTTCCTGACAAGGAGATAATGTAAATGCATCTTCCAATTCCTCTTCCTGCAAATGCACTCATGCATTTCTATGAGAGGCAAAGTTTACCACAAACATGAATATTTAAATACGTAACAAAAGCAGTTTCACTGGAGTTTGGATTGTCATAAAGTTGCAATAAATAAATAAAACAAACCACAAACGGGTGAGTAAAACCATGTCTCATTACCAGTCAGTCATGTCTATGTGAACAGTTCAGTTTACAAAATCAGCTACGTATAAGAAACTAAAATTTCCTTACAATTTCATTTGTCCTTTCACACAATAAATCTACAAAGATCAGTTCTTATATTGGGGGAAGAAAATCCACTTTAGTCTTCTTTATCTGCCTTCAGAGGCTCCTTGGACTGAAGTGCAACATCAGAACCAATGGACTCGTCGTCTTCAATGTCTGCGTCATCGTCTTCGTCTGTCTCGTTGGTTGAATATGAGCCTTTTTGTCTGGACAGACACCACAGCAGGACGGTGATCGTACAGAGGAAGATCAGCAGCACAACAGAGACGATTCCTGTGAAGGCAGAGGACAAATATCAACACAACTGGAGACACTGGGCACGTTGAGAGCATTTTGCTATAACAACATAAAGTACCAGTTATACAATTATATAAGTACATTTGTATATAAATGTCAATTAAAAAAAGTGGGTGTAAAGGACCAAAAGCTAGAGTTGAATGCCAAATTTGAATATCGGAAATAGAAATGATTGTATTTTACGTATGCACTGAAGAGGTGGGGAACACTCAGGGCCTTCAAATCCTTCAGAGAAGGCCTAAGAATTCAGTTTAACATAACATAAACATTCATAATGTATCAAAGTTCATATTCAATGATCCAGGTAGAAAATCCAACAAAGTTCAGTCAGGTCATCTAGACAGTTTCTTTTTTTTTGTTGTTGAGACTTTTCATCCTTCATCCAAAGGACTTCATCAGTCTGAGGAGCCACAACAAACGGAGTCCCACAAGCAGCACACTCACGTAGTGGGCCATCCAGTTTGCTGGTGATAAGATAGTTTCTGGGGCCTGCCCTCTCCCCAATCGACACCTCTGAGGCAGCCATAGCCAAAGTGGTTCAAAACATCAAAGTTCATGCTCAATAATCCAGGTAGAAAATCCAACAAAGTTCAGTCAGGTAATCTGGACGGTTTCTTTTTTTTCGTTTGGATGTTTTGTACTTCATCCAAAGGACTTGCATCAGTCCAAGGAGCCACAGCAAACTGTGGCCCACAAAGGAGCATGTGGATCTCGTTCTGAGGAAGTCCTTTGGATGAAGGATGAAATGTCTCAACAAAAAAAGAAACTGTCCAGATGACCTGACTGAACTTTGTTGGATATTCATAATGTAGTTTTTCTTATTTTTTGCTTATTTCTTCTTAGTTGAAACGTTTTATCTTTTGTCCAAAATACCAAAATTCATGCTCTACAACCCAGGTACAAATCCAACAATCTTCAAGCAGGTCATCTAGACGGTTTGTTGTTGCTTTTTTTGTGGCTGAGACGTTTCGTCCTTCATCCGAAGGTCTTCTTCAGTCCAAGAAGCCACAAACAAACTGGAGTCCCACAAATACTACACTCCCATAGTGGGGGGGAAAAAAAAGTTTGCTGGTGATAAGATGGTTTCTGGAGTCCGCCCTCTCCCCCATTAACTCCACTGAGGCAGTCATGCCAAAATGGTTCAAAACACCAACAGTTCATGCTCAATAATCCAGGTACAAATCCAACAATGTTCAGCCAAGTCATCTGGACGGTTTATTTTTATCCAAAGTACTTCTTCAACTGTAGAAGTATTTTAGAACCAGTCAGAATGTTGATATAGAGGGTGAGTTAGACTCAAAAAAATCACACTAACATTCTAGTTGCTCCAAAAAAGCAAAGGTTTAATATCACATTTAGATTGATATTGATCACTTTCAATATAAAAGTTGTGCTTTGGTTTCATTAAATGATCAGATTTTACTGAAACTGTAAGTTTCAGTAAATCTGTAAATTGTGTCCTGACAGGACAAGATGTAAAAAGATCTTTTTTTGTAATACCTCTATCCACCCTCATGGCCTTTTCCCCTTTTCTATCTAAAAGTATTCTGATAAGGATAAGAGGCCGCACTCTCAGAGAGCAGCAGCTACGTGCACTCCGCCCATCTTTCGGACGACAGTACGGACATATTCTCGCTGTATCTCGGTACAATGATAATAAAGCTTATTCTGATTCTGTGGGTTACTGTTGAAGTTCAGTGTGACTTATTGAAATGACATGTTGTACTTGAATGTAAGAGATTGTGTATATCAAAGGGCCTTCTAGAAAATCTTGGGACAGAAATGGGTGAACTTTTTCAGGTTACGTGTTCCGACGGGTTGTCCTTATTGGGTTTTCTGTTTAGTTCTGGTAGTGTTGTAGTACTTGAGACCGGTCTTGGTCTTGAGACCGGTCTCAAGACCACTTTTCGATGGTCTCGGTCTTGTCTCGGACTCGACGGCATTTGGTGTTGGTCTTGTCTCAGTCTCGGACATTGAGGACTTGGGATTTTATTTCAAGACCAGTCAAGACCACAACTGTGGAAATATCACTAAACTGTCAGAACATTGTCCAGTTTATTTGTTAACATACTTGTTTTTATCGGATGCAAAACGTACTGGCTCAAATCCAATCAATATCGTGACTCGTTGCTAAATACATTATTTGTTACCGTTGTCACGCCCACCCCCTTTCACTCACACGCGTCACTCCCAGTGTGGCCAGATTGGGCGGTTTACTGCCAATCGGGCGGTTTTCATTCTGATTTTGCTGGGAACTCTGGGAAGATTTTCGTTGGATTGTTGCATTTTGCCTCATATTGTTAAATTACCTTGGCTTGTACTGATGTGCGTTCATGTTCAAACAGTAAATATACTGTAACTATATATTGACTGGGCAGATTTGTGTGTGCTGTGGCAGTTTTTAACAGATTTTTGGGCTGGAAAACCCTCAACTCTATCTGGCAACACTGGTCACTTCAAGAAAATGAGAAGTGATTGTCTTGGCGCGGGAGAAGATGTCTGCCATATCATCAATTGTAAAATTTGCCTATTTAAATCACAAAGAGTATACTTGTAACTAATGCAACTATATGGTTATCCTTGGTGTTGAGTTCAGACTTATGAAGAGTGTTTTGCCACTGCAGTGTTTTAAGGCTTGGCATGTGATTAAACTGCTTCCAGTTTAACAGTTGTGCAATTTTATTGTTGAATGTATATTCATTCAAAAGCAAACAAAGTTGCAGTATGTAACTTTTATAAAAAAAAAAAAAAAAATTATAATAGAATTTTATATTTATTTTATTTGAGGTCTTGGTTTCGACTTGGTCTCGGACCCTAAAAGTCTTGGCCTTGTCTCGGTCTCGGTACACTCTGGTCTTGGTCTCGGGTTAGGTGGTCTTGAACACAACACTAAGTACTGGGTCAGCATTTACAGTAGATTGTTGTTTGTGACTGTAAAATCATGACACCTTAAATCATATGATGAGGAGAAGCACTTCCTGTCAGCGTAATTGAATTGTGAAAACGAAAGTAAAGTGATATGATCATACTGTGACTCCCTGTCTTTTTTAGTTTCAATAGAATGCTGCAATATTACATCCAAACTGAAGACCCAACCCTTTTAGTCACATAAAGAACTGTGCAAAGTTTGATGGAAGGGTCCCTCCCAGTCCCTCTCTGCTGTGCTTTAGCAGGCTCCACCCTTTTCCCCGTTTGCTGTCTTCAGCTGGCCATGGCTCCTCCTTTTCTGCATTAGAAACCCAATTTTCTCTCTATTGTTTTTCATCGGGCCACTCCCCCTCTCTCTTTGCTGTCGGTCAACAGGCCGTTCCCCTTCTCTTTCTGTTGTGATTTAACTGGTCCCTTCCACTTCTTAAGAAACTCGATTTTACATCTGTTGTTTTTCAGCTAGCTTCTTTTCATTTCTCTTTCTTGTGCTTTAACAGGCCACTCCCACTCCCTCTCTGCTGTGCTTCGGCAGACCCCTACAACTTCCTCTCTGCCCAAGAAACCCAATTTTCGCTCTGCTGTGATTCAACAGGCTCATGCCCATGGTTGTACTTTAATAAGCTCCTCCTTTAAGCTCCCCTTTCTCTCTCACGGTTGTGCTTTAGAGCTGTCATTTCTAACGCGAACCCAAAACCCGGCCCGGACTGACCTGGATTAGGGCCGAGCCATTATACTGTGATTAATGGGCGGGGCGGGCCAGTCTCGGGCTTTAAATTAGGTCAGGGTCAGCTGCGATCCAATTATATGATAACATGGCCTGCCATACATCCACCAGCCGCACGTGCCCATTTCACCACGAGCTGACCAGCCTTGAAAGAGGTAAAAAGTTCAGTTAAGCTTCAGATGGGACTGTACTGCCAGGCAGCGATCCATCGCCCAAATGGACGTTCATTCTGCCCCTGCACTCAGCGGACGCACGCGGCCGAAGACCCAGACTGGTGAGATCCCAAAGCAGACGCGTGTGTCAGAGATGTCTCCGTGTCTCAGTAATTCAGAAAAATACAGTCAGAAACGGGGTTTAAATGCTTTTTTATGAACATGAAAGGACAAACACCTTTCATCTCCAAATCTTCTGCTGCATTTATTCAGCTGTACGTTCTTGACCGTTAATAACTATGTCAGTTTTTTTCCGAGTTTGGACCTGTAATTACTGTTAATTCGTCAAGTTGGGTGGGGTTCGGAAATTATGACTGCGGGCTGGGGCCGGGTCGGATCAGATTTTTAAGACCCGAATGCAACTCTATTGTGCTTCAACAGCACAACAGCAGAGTGGTTTGGGGAGAAGCATATCAGGAGATAGTGGAGTGGGAGGAACCTGTTGAAGTACAGCAGAGAGGAAAGGGAGGAGCCTGTTGAAGTACAGAAGAGAGGGAGGGGAGGAGCCTGTTGAAGTACAGAAGAGA